GCAGGGGGCGGGGGCCGGGCCCCCACCCCCACCCCGGAGCTGCGCGCTGGGCCCGGGGCGCCCCGAGCCTCCCGGCTCTCCGCACCAGCCCGGTGTCGCAGGGAAGGTTCTAGGAGAGGTCGCCGGGTCCCCACCAGGGCGGGCGGGCGTTGGCAGAGCCTGGCAAGGGGGCGAAGCCGACGGCCCCGGCTCTAATCGGATCAGACCTAATCCGTCCGCAGCCAAAGCCACGAGCCCAGACCTCGTACGGCCAGGCTCGCCCGGGCGCATCCCAGGGCCAAGAGCAGAGCCCCCTCCACGCCCCGTCCCCGGGACCGCGGCCACCTCGCCTACCTTAAGGCCTCTGGCAGCGTGGGGCAGCCTTTAACCCGGGCCTGCCCTCCGTCCCCAATATGTCGTGCCCAGGTGTCAGGCCACCAAAGCTCCAGGTCCTAGGTGGCCTACATCTCAGCCTAGCCACACGGAAAGGGCCAGGACCGCCCATCTGCGGAGCCCTGCTGGGCGGGCAGGCAGTGCGGGCTGGTTACCTGTTTCTCCCTCCAAACCTACCGTGCCTCTTTGTGCTAACCAAGTGATGGCAGCCTGATGGGGCAGCTCTGGCACTTAGGGGGGCTGGGATAGACCCCGTCTCTTAACCGCCCTTACACGCGAGGGGCCTCAGGGGCGAAGCCTCTCGTCACTCCTGCTCCTCCTGGCCTGCCAGGCAAACTCTTTAAGCCAGAGACGCTGGGTTCTGCCTCTGGGGACAGTGAATAGGTTTGAAATACCACCTCCTCCGCGCCGAGGGCCACAGAAGCACCAGCACCCTCAGCCCCAACTCCATCTCTGTGGCCTGGTACTGTGTGAAACCTATTCACAGGTTTTCTACGCAAGGCCTGCACAGGGGCACTTAACTCTGTTAAAACTCAGCCCAGTCCAGTCTTTTTACATTTTAAATTTTTATTAACCATTTAAGTCCATTCTGTCAATTGTTGAATTTGTAAAACAAAGCTGTAAAATGTGAAACATTCCTTATTGTCCGTGTCAAATTTTTCTCTTCACCAGGGACAAAGTGTGTTACCTCTTTCCTCAATCTGGGTTTAAAATAATTTTTTGGGGGGTTGCTGGCAGGTGGTATGGTGGTTAAGGGCGCTGGACTCCCCCATGGCTGACCACAGTTCAAGTCCTGGACCCAGTGGGTCTCTTTCTCTCTCTCTGTTCCTCTCTGGTCAAATAAAAATAATTAAAAAAAAGTTAAAAAATAATTCTTTAGGGAACAACAGTTAGCGTAATGGCTATGTTGCTGGACTCCCATGTAGTCGACCGCGGTTCACGTCCCAGACCCGGTGGTTTAAAACTCACGCAGGGTGCATGTGCGCACATGCCCAAGATCCCAGAGGAGAATGGAGGAGAAGGGATTGACGCGTGGCCATCCCCCCTGGGGGGTGATTTCTTGCTTTCTGTCTCTCTCTGGCAAGCACACGCGCCCTATAGTTAAAAAAAAAAAAAAAAAATCTTTAACATTATTTTGAGACAGACACAAAGACCCTTGACAGCCCTCAGCCAGCCAGTGGACACCCAGTGCATACAATGTCAACCCAGCACGCAAACCCCAGGCCTCCCTGCATGGCTCACACCTGCACCACCCGCCATGGCTGGGCCTGTTTCCGATTCTGCCATTGGCTGTTGTCATGCTCCCTGGCAGCTCTCTCCAGCAATGGCACAACTCAGCCACCGAGGCTGGGCTACGTTCACAAGACCAGGGCAAGGTTGCCGAGGTGGCGGAGTGGGGGAAGAGACTGGCATAGGACCTGTGTGACCTCGCAGGGCCTGTCACCGAGTCTCTTGGATACGGGTCTTGCTAACCAGAGGGTGGCTGGAACAGCGTATTTTTCCAGGGCGCGGGACTTCGGGAGGGGTAAAGAAGAGATGGGAGGTGCAGGAACCGGAGAGCGAAAACCCGGGGACCTGACTTCTCTCAAGCTCACACCCACGCCAAATTCCTCCGTGTGGCAATGGCTTCCTGGTGCCCGTTTCCTACTGGGTTTGGCAAACTCACAGCTGGTGCCAGAGCAAACCCAAGGTATGCCACCTTCCTGTGCAGGGAGAGCCAGTGCTCCGCCACAGCTCCTGGCTCCCAGTGGCCAGCGGTGGCCACTCAGCAGTAACGGACTCGCTTTCCCTTGTGCTGTCGTTTGCCTTAGTCTTCATTTTTTTTTTTTAAGAAAAATAGATTTTTGGGACCAGCAGGTGGCATGGTGGTTAGGGTGCTGGACACTCCCACATAGCCGCCCAGGGTTCGAGTCCTGAATCTGGTGGCTTGCTTTCTCACTTCCTCTGTCTCTCATTCTTACCCTCTGTCTCTCTCTGGTCAAGTTAAAAAATAAATGAATAAATAAAAAATAAACTATTAAAAAAGAAAAAGAAAAATAGATTTTTACTGTAGGGTACATGTGCTCACCAGAAAGACAGAAAGCAAGTCGTCACCCCCCAGGGGGGATGGCCACACCTCAATCCCTTCTCCTCTCAGGGTTTTGGGCACGCACGCACATGTACCGGGTGTGGGTTTGAAGCCGCCAGGTCCAGGACTCAAGCCATGGTCAGCCGTGTGGGAGTCTACCAGCAAAACCACTCTGCCATCTGCTGGCCCCTCTTCACCACTGGCCCATGAACACCTTGCCACGACAACCAGATAAGGACGCCTGTGGGCAACAGCGGGAAGCCAGCGAGAGCTTCTGGCCCCCTTGTCTGGGACTGTGCTAGTGAGTAGCAAAGCCAGGAGCTGGGCTGAGCGCCTGGCCTCAGGCCTTCTGTTTTAAGGTGGAGGCTCTTCACCCCTACTTACTGCCAGAGGACTCAGGGTTGAGGGTCCATCAGCTGAGGGGAGCTGCCTCCTGCTCTGTCTGAACGCATCACTGGGCCCTCCCTCTCCACTTTCCCCTGGGCTTTGAGAGCTGTGATTAAAAAAATATATATATTTTAAAATTTGGTCATCAAGAGAAATGGAAAGTGAGCCAGCAAGCCACCAGGTCTGGGACTTGAACTGCAGCTGGTCATGAAGGAGTCCAGTGCCTTACCCACTGCACCACCTGCTGTCCCCAGGAACATGATTTTCTTTTATTTGGAGAGGCTTTTGCTATAAGGCGTGTGCACTCACCAGACAGAGAGACAGAAAGCGAGAAATCACCCCCCCCAGAGGGGATGGCCACGCCGCAACCCCTTCTCCTCCGTTCTCCTCTGGGGATCTTGGTCACGCACACACATGTGCCCTGCCTGACTTTTAAGCCACTGGGTCCAGAACGTGAACCGCTGTTGAATACATGGTAGTTCAGTGACATAGCCATTACACTAACTGCTGGTCCCAGGAACCTGATTTTTTTTTAAAATTTATTATTATTTTATTTATTTTTAAATCTGACCAGAGAGAGAGAGAGGGAGCAAGCAGCCAGGTCCAGGACTTGAACCGTGGACAGCTATGTAGGGATCCAGTGCTTTAACCACCACACCACCTGTCAGCCCCATAAACCTGTGATTAAAAAAAATTTAATTTTTTTTAAAGAGTTACTTTTATTTAACTTTACTTGACTAGAGAG